GTTGGAAATTGTCTCGACTTCTTCTCTGGGCCTACAAATTCATGCATTGATTGGCATAGAAAGCTCTCAATTAATAACCGTGGAAGTGCATCTAGAACACTAAGTTTAGAGCTGGTATGACACTCGCTACAGAAGGTTACAAACCCTAGAAGAAAGTTATCATATTAGGAGCACGCTTCAAAATCGTATAAAACTCTTTCCTATGTGAACAAGAAGTCCTGAAGATTAATTATCAACATGAATACTTTAACATAACACTTTTATATAAAAAATGCCGTAAAACGGTATCAATTTAATCAGCGAAATATATTTATCATTGATATTTTTAATTTTTCTACTAGTGCAGTATTTTTATTGCATCAGGGCATAAAAATGCATCATATTTCAGCATCATTAGACATACAAAGTTATTGTAAGTGAAAAAAAAACAATTAGGAACCTCAGGGATCAAATACACGCCACTGATGAATCTAACCCTGTTTCACGGTACATGTTATTCAAAAACTTTTCTAACAAAAAGATTAAATTTTTCCTCAATTTCACGCAGTAAAAATTATTTTGATATAATATCTTTACTAAAGCTGTAGTGCCATACTTTGACTATATGTTTAGTATTATTTCTGCTTGTAGTCAACGATTTACATAGTTGAAGATGCTAATTTCAAATAACAGACTGCAGTGGTAATTTTTATACGATAGATGGATGAGATGAAATTATAAAATTGATAGTTCCGTTAGAATACGGCAGTGTGAAAATTGCATATAGATAGTAGATAGCTAGCTTGGACAACTTTTAAGGAAGGTACAAATCGGTTTTTTCATCTCTCTTTACCAAACTCCCCCTTTGGAGAGGGATGGTGAGGGGCTCTTAAACGCCAAATTAATTCAAAACCGGCCTTAATAGTGCGAAAAGGATATGAAAATACCGGAAGAGTTGTCGACACGATTAAAAGTATCGAAATGGCAATGTAATATTAAAACTGAATAGGGTAAATGTTGGCTTCGGCACCCATTGACTGTTTTCGGCAACCAAAATTTAAACGTTAATTTTACTATGTTTTCCCATCAACGCACTTCCCTGAATGTGTCCAAACGTTTGTTTAGCCTTTCAGCTTCAATCTGATTATATATGAACGATCAAGCAATCCAGTAATGCTACATTTTTCTTCAAATAAAGCATACGCACTACAAAATGGGGTTGAATTCGAGTTGCCGATAATAGAACAGCTGGTTAACACGCAGTTCTAATGGGAAGGTTGCCGAAGAAAAAGAGGCTGCCGACAATAGTCACACTCACCTTAGAAGTTTGGAGCGTTGTAAAAACGCTTTCAAAACGTTTTGAAAAATTCTGTCGATTGGAATGGATAGAGAAGCAAGCAGCAGATGAATGTAAACAAACAGACACATCATATATGTGCGTGACGCTGAGAAAATGCTAGTAGAAGTGCAGACGCTGCTTAGATTGACGAGAATACGTAAATTCCCCTATATATATTCACCTTAAAACGTCCAATTGCCAAAAAGACTGCAAGCCGACATGCATAATGTTCTTAAAAATTAAAAAAATGGCATCAAAATCGCAAAAATGCTCTCAAAATGGCAAAAAGTCAAAATGTCCTGGCATGTCAAACTGGCATTTAAGTGTCAAAAAGGCCTTGAAATTACCAATATGATCTGAAAATAATTAAATTAATGAAAACCCCTGGAGAAAGCCAAGACAACCTTACCCCGGTGGTTATCTTTCGAGAAGCATTAAAAACCTGGGGGGATATGGCTGTCATTCTCGAACAACTTACGCCTACCCATCATGGATGCCCAATTGGATCTATTTGTAAACATTTCAAGCGTTGCAAGCAATGAAAATTAGTTCCATTTGTCAACATTGATCATCGTTCTTACCGAAGAAGCTGTGTTCTGATCGTAACGATTTGGAAATAGAAACCAATGCAAAGCTGACATGGAAAAATCAACGAAAAAATAATGAAGTGATCCTGTTACCTATTCAGTAGCCTGATGGGTAAGTTTGACTACTAGTATAATTTTTCAACCAATATTTACACTTTTCCACCAAATAACTTTTTATAAAGTGCTCAAATCTTGCGGCATAAAATGACATCAGAAATTCATCGCACCATGGCTGCAACTGAACTCATCTGTGGAAACGGCCTATTCTTTCCCTTCTGACCAATACTGATATTTGTACGTGAAGAAGCACCTTAATTATTAATTTGATAAGACACTCGGTCTTAGCCAAATGATAAAATGTTCACGCCGTAACAAATATGAACCACATATTTCAGATTGCTACAAGTTCCTTCTTCCCATTGGACAAGTTAAGAGTGTTATATGAATTTATCAATTTCAGATATTCACGATGAACGAAACAAGTGTCAGAACTAGGTTAAAGCTAACACTTGAACGTGAAACTAATGAAACGAATGTAACAAATCGACAGTGAGCATGCATAAGAGCGTAAACGCGATGATCGATTCTCTTCGTCGATTTTCTCTTTTGTTAATAATTAGCTAGAATTAAAGTTTCTCGGTACGTTTGCTGTTGCTTTTGATAGCCAATGCAACCTGTTATAACTCTGCATTGAACAAATTCTAGAAAATTGTTTCGTTAAGCTTTAGTAATGTAAAGAGAAAATCGATGAAGAGAATCGTTCGTCACGTATACGCCCTTATGCATGCTCACTGTCGAAATATATTTTATATTGAAATGTTTAGCATCAGTATTGATGTTCGTCGAATGGTTTTGATTGCCTTGAATTCATTGAAACCAGTCTGAAGGTTACAAGTGATTTTCCAATAAGTCGTTGAAGATGAGTAACATAAATTTGATTTATTGAAAGATTTATTTTAATTGATAACTGAGTTTTTCACACATACAGACATTCTTAACTGCCCTCAATGATTCGAGCCCTCGTATACAAACTGAGATTTTCTTTTCCAATAACCTTCAAACAAAATCTACTTTGTATACTTACTACGCGTAGATTCCTTATATGGGCGAATAGTTTTACAATATATTTCAAAGCGCATGTTGGAACATATTTCCACAATAGGCTTGATAAAAATGGATTTATGATCAGTTAAAACATCACTGTCTTTACGAGCGTGCTTTTCTAACTTATTCAAAGTAAATGTGGTTTGATGCTTTTGAACGCTTGAATCAACAAGTAAACTGTAAACTTCACAAAACACACGAATCATACTAATACAGGTATCGTAACACTTCATGAAATTTAGACAGGCCTTACATTTTACAGTTCGCACAACCTCTTTTCGAATAAATTCCACAGTTTGCTCACAGCAAAAAAATAATTTTGATATCACATCAAAGTGGATGCACTTCAATCGTGTCGAAAATAAGGTGTAATATTATTTGCCAAAAAGGACAAAATTATCATTAATACAGTGCATGGAGTGACATTACGCTGCTTTTACTGCATTTGTTTATTTTTGTGGCCATAAAAATTACATGAGATTTTTGACATGATTGAAGTGCATCCTCTTGGATGTAATATTAAAATTTATTTTTTGCTGTGCTGCAATGCTGAATCTTTTACGCTCTCGTCCACAAAATCATCCATCGGTTCTAGTTTGTCTGTCAGCATTCGTTCAATGTCATCAAAAACTTCACAGTGTTCCGTTACGACTGCTATCTAAAGCCACAGTAAGGATTGTTGTTTCACTAAAATCTTGACGGTTCGCAGTTACATTCTTGTTGATGAGTAGACGCTTGTATGCTGCTTTAAATTGCCCAGCACTAGGATTGTTGCTAGAGCCACCCTTTGCTCGGACATCCGCAAATTATGTTTCCAGGTAATCCTGGCTATACCTGTATGTCCTTATGTGTCTCAAAACTTCTTACTCAACAACAAGCTCTTTATACATATTCAGAAAACTTTGCATGTTAATTAAAAACCCTGAGAATCCACTGAGACTGGAGGATTGATTGTCCAGTTAACATTTGGTTTTATCTGATAAATGTACCGGCGTATAGAAAAACTGCTTCAATTTCTTCAAAATTGTCTTTGCTAAACGGTTTCTTGAAACCGGTATCTTGCATATCCTTGATGTTCATTATGTCGTACAAATTATTAATCCGACATCCAGCACAACCTTCATTTTTTGGTTTTTAAAGTTAATACATATCATATCAATATCATATGATGGTCTGATAATTTTGGAGCTAATTTCAAACCGGTAAGGTTCTGAAAGTCGTTCTGTGTTTTAATGTACGCCCATCTTGCCTCACCATTGGTGCGTAGAACAGACTGAGATGACATTATGTTTCTAACCAACTTCAGCATATGATACGCACCAAGTAAAACATATACTCGATGTGTGCCAGAGGGATGTTGGAAATGCGTTACGACGGGTGCAGCATTAATTATCAAGTTACAGCCAAGGGCATTAGCAACATAAAAATTGGTTGAAGTTCCATCGAATGTGACACCGACAACTTTAACGGTGACGTCTTCCAAAGCAACCAGAACGTTTCAATTATTAGCTTTTTGTCGTATGTTTTCAGTCCACAGATCAAAAAATATGCTACTGGTATTTTCCAGTCTTGTTCAACTGATGACACCATGAAAACAAGTGCTGCCTTAGCAGGTACCAGCTTATCTACATCGCACAAAAATGACAACGAATCTCCATAACTAACAACTCCATCGATTTTTTTTTCTTATGCGGATTCAACGAGTAGCCGGATCGCTACTTCATCCATTGATAAGTTTTTTTTTTTCCTTGATTTGATTTCCGTTGATCTTGTTTTTCGTGCTGATCACCAATGCTACCGACACCCGGAAGGCAGCTCCCACACCTGGACCCTACCACCTATCGACCCATCAACTCATGAACCGGAGGACCAACGGCTTTACTTCCCTTCCGAAGGAAGGCGTGATCAGAGATGTTATGCCTCAGAACATCCAGGCGGCGCCGACTGGGATTGAACAAAGGCCTGCTGGGGTGAGAGGTAAAAACGCTTACCACTACACCACCAGCGCTGCTGTTGATAAGTTTACCATCAACTGCCATCCTTCAGAAGACAAAGCTTTTGATTTTGAGTCCACACAAAACTTCAATAAATACATTGTAATCTGGTGGTAAACGTAGTAAATTGGTGAATTGCTTACCTGAAGTAGCACTTCCCCTTTTGAAGTAATTAGTATTAGAAAAATGTCCATGTTTTTTTGCGGTGTAAAATGTTTTGTTGTTTTAATCGTTGCGTATACGTTTCTGTGATCGTTGTAATTGTAATAAAACCTTGGTAATGCTTATTTTGTGGCCTTCATGGACAATGAGGAAACAACCTTGATGTCACCAGCATACCTTATTCTTTTTTTATCGTACGTGTACGAAGATGTGCCAGTTAACTCCTGCCGCAAAAGCATATTAGTTAAGCACGAGAAAATCCAGCATCGCATGATTAGTATTATCAGACGAATAAAACGGACAACACACTGTAAAGTTAACAATTACTTATAAAAAAAAACTGAAACATAAGCGAAAATATTTGATCAATATTGCGCATTTTATACCAAACTGGACAAATAAGCACGTTTTCATTTATTAAAAAATGTGATAAAAATGCGAGTTTCCGTCTAATCGACTTGGTGTCTTAGGTGCACTCATTCCTTAAGATGCAAGCTTCGAAGACACAAAAACGATTTGACGGAAACAGGCTCTACACAGATAAAAATTCTGAAATTTAATTTTGATGTTAACATTCATTCACGTAGACTTGTATTTCATTTCACGCAAACGAGCAACTTGCAAACAATGTTGTTTACAAAGATGAGCTTTTGTATACAATATTTGCTACATTGAATGAAATGTGTCAGAACTTTACATGATATATAATGTAAACGTATATGATATGTGACGCTCCATTTATGTGCATCATATTGAACAGACATTTACACTAATTTTCGAACTGTGTATTATCACACTTTTTGCATTTTTGGGGTATAGAAATTAAGTCGTATCGCAAACTTACCGCTTTTCTTGCAACGATGTACACAGTTCGAAAAAGTAGTGCAAATTTCTGTATAGTATGATGCACATAAATGGAGCGTCACATATCATATAAGTTTACACTATATATCATGTAAAGTTCTGAGATATTTCATGCAATGTAGCAAATATTGTATAAAAAAGCCCATTGTTGCAAACAACATTGTTGCTCGGTTGCGTGAAATGAAATACAAGTTTATGTTTACATCACTATTAAAATTCAGAATTTTAATCTGTGTACTGTACAACCGCTGATGAAGACTCCGACGAGGAGGCTCGTTCACGTACAAAGCTGCTTTGAAATACTTGTTTTCGGTTGGAGTTTGTGCATTGGACTTCTCAGGAAGCTCGACTATCTTAGGCAATCCGAATAGATGTCGGGAAGTATTCATCACATTATCGGCGGCGATATCTGACACTCCTTACTTTATAAAATTTAAGCCATATCTCCGAAATCGGTAGACCGATTTCAAAAAAATCAAATGGCGTTCAATGGAATCATAAGACCTTTCATTGGACGTTTGTTGCGTCCAATTCGGTGCTGTGGTTGCATAGAAACATAAATTACGTTATTTCATTACAGATGCACATACACACAAACACACACAGACATTTTCCGGTTTTGTCGAGAAACAGTTAAATGACATTATCATTAGTGATAGCCCACATCGACCTGGAAGTCGTTTCCGTATAGAACTATCAACAAATTAAGAGAAATTTCCAGTGGATACTAATGTAAACTTTTTGGAGAGGTTGGAAAGAACTTCCAGAGAAGCCGAAAAAAACATTCGCAGAATGTTGGATGAAACTTCTATAGAAAGCTGACCAACTTTGTTGGGAGATAAACATTTAGGAAATTTCGGCAGAAACTTTCAGATAATTTTCCAATGGATGTCAGAAGAAATTTTCAGGTACATTCTGAAAAAACTTCCAAATTCTTAAAAAAAAGCATCCAAGATCAAGCTTCCGCGGAAAGATGAAATAAAGTTATGGGAAAAATCCCAAGAAAAGTCAGATTAACATTTCGGGAGTAGTCTTAAGACAGGGAATGCAGATAAAAAAAACTAACAGGATAAGTTGGAAGAATCTTCCGGATGAAGTTAAAAAAAAATCTGGAGGATGCGAAGAATCGTTCAAAGGAAATCTGATGAAACTACCGGGTGTAAAGTCTGGAACGCGCAAAAATTGTTCAACTTCAAATTGGTGTATTTGTGTTAAAAATGCATAAAAAAACCTGAAATGCTGCATTTGGAAGTTGAGTGTATATTAGAGTGATGCAAAATTTAAAATTTTCACTCCACAATACTTAAACGATTCCAAATCGGATCCTGACTAACCTCTCAAAATTTGAACCCATTTGGTGAGAAACTGAAATGGCACAAACCATTTGAAGTTTGTATGGGAATTACTATGGTGAAACCAAGATTTTTGTTCATGTCTATCTAATAATTCAATATATCGGTCTGCTTCAAAAACTTTCAATTGTGCTTGTAGGAAATTTTCCCAGCTACAACTTTGCCCAAGACCACTTTTTGATTAAATGCAAGGATCGAAAGTTATCAATGGTTCAATGCGCTGATGTCTTATGATCATGCTCAATCAACTGCTCAGCAGGCAACATTGGTGTTTCTGGGGCGTTGAATAGAACACAAAAATCATGGCTACTATGTCACACTGCAAAATACAGTGTTGCCTACAGAGCAGCTGCTTGATCATGTCATAAGTTTACCAATCTCTTAAATAATTAATAACTTTTTCCTGTCTCGTTTTACATAGAAATGATCTTGAGCAAAGTTGTAGCTGAGAAAATTTTCTATAAGAATGGCTATCAAACTGTTTCGCAGCTCAATATGGAAAAAGACTAGAAGGCAATGAACAAAAAGTTGAGATTTCCCATAGTAATTTACATGTAAACTTCAAATGGCTTGTGCGAAGTCTGTTTCTAACCAAATGAGTTGTAACTTTGGGAGGCTAATCAGGACCCGATTTGAAACCATTTAAGCACTGTGGAGCGAAAAAGTCAAAATTTGCATCAGTCTAGTGTATATACAATGGTTGCTTAGATAAGTTTACACCGTTTGCTCTCCAGTTTTCAAAGCAAGAGGAGCAGCGTGTCAAAATTTTGCTCGCGCAGCAAGAGAATCCGACGTTCTCACACGCCAAGTTGGCAAAATTGCTGGATGTGGCCAAATCGACCGTGACAAACGTTTTAAAAGTGTCTGTCGACCACCAAGAAGCTTGAAAGCGGCGGAAATCGTTATCCGGATGTGGCAGCGACGACGATGAAGGTGGCGGTTAAATATAAGTGGAATCCTAACCTCTCCATCCGGAACGTCACTGGCAAGCTCAATGTCTCCCATACTACTGTGCAGCGGGCCAAGAAACGAGCCAGGTTGTCGACGTTTAAGAAGGTGAAGGTGGCGAACCGTGATTACAAGCAAAACACGTCGGCAAAGCAGCGGTCCAGAAAGCTATATACGAATCTGCTCATGGACGACGAAACTTATGTCAAGGCGGATTTCAAGCAGCTTCAGGGACAGGAGTACCGCAAAAGGGAAGGTGGCTGAAATTTTCAAAACCATCTAACTATCGAAGTTCCCGAAAAAATATCTCGTCTGGCAGGTCATATGCACGTGTGGTTTAAAAAGTGGCATTTTCATTGCTAAAGGAACCATTAATCAAGAGATCTACGTCCAGGAGTGCCTAGAAAAACGGCTGCTACCATTCCTAAAGCACCATAATAGACCTGTGCTGTTCTGGCCGGACTTGGCGAGCTGCCACTATGGTAATCGAGTGATACGATGCGAACAACGTGGTTGCGGTACCCAAAGACCACAACCCTTCCAACAGCTTAAAACTCCACCCTATCGAACGGTATTGGGCCTTGGTTAAACGGAATCTCTAAAAAACTAATAAATCCATGGAAAACGAGCAGCAGCTTAAATCTAATTGGCGTTTGGCGGCGAATAAGGTCGATGAGACCACTGTGCAAAATTTAATGGAAGGGGTTAAGTGTAAGGCACGGCAGTTCAGATTTGGCAAACCAAAAGAATAAACGGACATTTTTTCCTTTAAATATATGAATTGAGCTACCAAAGATAAGAAGATTTTTGTGATATGAATTTTGACTGAAAGAAACGATTTTTTGTCGACCAATTTTTGCGCGTTACAGTCTTTAGTAAGAAGAAAATCCTGTAGGAAGTCAGTAGAAATTGGCGAAAGTTGGAAATCAAATTCTGGGGAAGTCGGATGACACGTTTTGGAGTATTTAAATGAAATCTCATGAACAAGTTGAAAATACAATCCTCCAGAGAAGTAGGAAGATATTTCTACACCAAACCGGGGGATGTAAGATTCGCTTAGAATTATGTGGGATTCATCATCAGAGGATGTTAGTGGAGACCGCATGAACCGAGGATGCAATATACCTTGCTGCGGTTCAATGCAAGAAAATTGGAGACGGAAAATGTGGAGTGTATTAGTGAGTGAAATGAATTATGTTGAAAAAAATTGGAAAAAGGTTGCCGAATGGACTCGAACCACGAACGTTGCGATTATCAGACCTGTGCTTTCTCCACAGCTCTCTCCATGCTTCTGAAAAGCAAACACAAAGCGCTCTTTTACTCTCATACACGGTTTCGTTTCCTTTTTTGTTGGAGAGATTCGAGACAAGTGTGTGCGTCGTTCTACAATGTTATACATAGAAAGCTTACTGGTATAGTCGAAAGCGTAGATAGAACACGAAATAAAAAAGATAAAAACCATTACATCGCCTGTAAGGTCAACTTCTAACATTCGCTGCGATGTTCATGAACCCATAGGATTAGTTCCACTTCATTGTAATAAATTTTTGGTTTGCGTATAGGAATTTCAAAACATCTTCCGGGGTAAATTGAATATTAAAATGTATTAAATACCATATGGTGATTCAGAGATACATGAATTCATAACTGAACATTTAGCAACTACCTAACTATCAAATGTAATACCTTAAAAACTTTAAACTAATATTCAACCTCCCA